GGATCCTCTACCAAACCATCAACTGTTTCGTAGAAAATATTCCAAACCTTTTGACAGTTTCCTGAACCATCAGTAGTTCCGTCGATATTTTACGAAACCTTAAAGCCGACCAGAAAGTGTCGAAAAGTTTTGCACAAATAATACCAAACCTTCGGATCGTGAACGGAACCATCAGTGGTTTCGTACAAAATATTCGAAACCTTCCTTTCGATAACGAAACCAACAGTGGTTCCGTCGCCATATGACGAAACCTTCTGCTAGGGGCGTAACCAGGAAAAATCCGTAGGGGGGGCTCAGCCCCCTCTCCCCAACTGTAGACAACGAAGCAACATAATTCTTTGTCTAGTTTTTTTAGTTCGTATGACGTGTATAAAAATTGAATAGCAGATACGAAATCCTATTGAACGTGCTACAAAACGCATATTTACCTGTTACAAACACCCTTTTTCGAAACAATTTATCGAAAATATCGAGAATTTCTTTTGCTCCTACCCGTTACTTACTGTTTAGTGCATCCCTACCTCCAAGAGACATATCTGGCGTCAAAATATAAGAGTAAAATGTTTTATACCATATAAACTGTTCCTCACCGTTCTTTTCTATACTATTGTTTGGACAATACCACGCAGTGAGAAATTTTGTTTCTTCTTAGACTCTAAAATTTCTGATGAGATAATAGCGGTATAAAAAGCATTGATTTATTATTTATTCAAGGAGAGCATGCCGCCGAAGGCGGCACCTTTTTGGAACGGAATAAAAACGGTTTGACTAAAATATTGTATAGTTCAATGAAATAAAATCTCACGCTTCTGGAGTGACAAGAACGAAATTATAGCACTCATATATGTTCAGCCACTAAAGTCCTCTACGCTTTCAATCGCTGTGTTAAAAGTGGAAGATAAACGCGAGGCGTATACAAAGCTTCCCATTGCCTAAGTCACACAGATAAACGAATCATATTTCAAATGCTAATTCGAAATGGAGAGAAGACTGATCAAAATGAAAACTAATGGGACAGACCTAAGTCGCGAAGCGAAAACTTCTTAAAAATGCAAGAAAAATGTGCATTAGAAATTCATTTTCTAAGGGATTTTCCTTCGAGTTCTGGACTTCTTACTGTTGATGATGCCTGCTATTATGAATAAGCTGTATGTTGATTTCTATTATTACAGAAATCAAACGCAATTTTCTTTAATAAAAGGGGATAGAAATTTTTCTAGGGGGGCAAAACCTTTCGTAGGGGGGGCTCAGCCCCCCCTTGCCCCCCTCTGGTTACGCTACTACCTTCTGCCATGGTACGAAACTATCAGAGGATTGGTATGTGATGTACCAAACCACAAACCACTTTACGGAACCTCCGAAGAGTTCCGTCGCAAAATCGCGAAACCTTATGAAATCTGCTGAACTTAAAAAAGTTCTGAAAGGAAACCACGAAACGATTTGCGCTCCGCAGAACCTAAAATAGTTCGGTGCAGAAATGTAGAACTTCTAAGGTTCGGTAGAGTACCGATTCTTTTTAGAGTGTAGTTTTTTTGCATTTTATATCTTTTTCTCGTGCATTTTGCTTACATGTATTCTATTCATTCTGGTAGTTCTTCCTAATGAATTTTTATGCTGTAGTTTTTCTTTTTTTATCACTCAATAAAATGATGCTGAGTAGTCATTAACGTTTTCCTATTCCTTCACATTCTCATTATTGCCATTGAATCATTAATAGTCTTACGTCACTCATAAACATAACATTTTCAGTATCACATTTCTTAAATAATGCAAGAGCACCTATTACCAACTAAAATCAGCTTATTTCATCGTGTTACTAGTGTGCTGGTATAAAATTTATTTTGCTTCCAATATTTCTTTGCTATAGTGTACTTGGATAAAGAATTGCTGTTTTACAATCTCTTATTGGAAAGTAAAGCTTATCCTGAAGTATTTTACAAATAGGTCGATCAATTTCTTCGACTTTATAATTCAATAAATAGAAGTTTGAGTCAGTTATTGTGATAAAGCTGGTAAATCTATTATTTCATTACAACACATGCGGAATATACTTCTATCTTATACAGTCGAGGGTCAAGTGAGTCGAACCTACGAACGTTACTTGTGAAATAAAATGAGTTTGTGATCTGGTAGTCATTGGGAGAGTAACGCATTCAAATATGTTAGCGTGATTACAGGTTTGATAATCGGAGTAACATCAAATATATATGAAGGTTTTGCAGGTGGCCAGTTCAGTCAGTTAAATATTTTTGGTGAGCGGCTATGAATCTGTCAAGCTTTATTCGACTAGCAGTAATTTAATGTGTTACCGTTTCTTTGCTTACTAGCTGGTATGGTTAGAAAGGGTTGATGTGTAATTGGAACATTTTCTGTGATACTAATGTGCAATCAGTGATATTTTTATATGGTGTGCGCTTGACCTTAGCTGATGAGTTGCATCAGATCAGGTTTATTGTAAGTTGACCTATCTAGATGCGGTTCTGGAAATAGATATGTGCCAGTGAAAAATAGGGTGTGGGTGTGGGTGTGAGTGTTGTGATCAACCTTCTTTTCACGCAGCAACACCCACACCCATTCATACCCACGCCCACGCCCACACCCACCCCACACCCCACATCCCACACCCCACACCCACACCCACATCCACCCACACCCACACCCTATCTGACAAAAAAAGCCTAAATACTTCACGGTACTTCCAATTTGGAAGTACCGTGAAATATTTGGGCTTTTTTGTCAGATAGACTTACGTAGACTGGACTCCGGCTAATATACCGTAACACAGGTCGATAGTAGACTTGAAATAGCTAAAGAGATCTGATGCACAGTTATCGCATAGTCTGGAAGTACAGGAAGTACGCTGAAGTACGGCATTTTCGCTCCTTCCCCTTGAGTATGGCTCATCTTAAGTATGAGAAAAGATCAATTCTTTTTGAACGAACTACCAGAACAAATCATGATTATTCATGAGAACTATTGAAACAAATCATTTTTTCTCAAATGAGTTGTGACAACAGTTCAGCTCTTATCAGAAGAACTGTCATAAGAGTTCAGTTCTTATCACAAGAACTCTGCAGATGGTTCAACTCCTATGAAAAGGACTGTGGAGACAATTCAGTTCTTTTTAAAAGAACTTTGCGACAGTTGTTTTCTACAGAAGAATCAAATTTATGAACTTGAACTGTCACAGGCCTAGTAACGTATCCAAGCATAGCACCAGAAAGAAAAAAGTATAGATGGAATATATATGAGTGAATTGCAATTTTTTGGTGCCATTGATGTTTTAGCTGTATTTGGCTAATAACTTCTGTTTCTATCCATCGATTCGGACATTTTTTTAGACATATTTTTCCTGTTTATATGCCCCATTATCACACAAAATTTCAGCTCTGTAGCTCATAGCATCACTGACTTATGAGAGGTATATGGCAAAAGAACGTTAGTTTTTGCGGACATGTGAAAAGAAAAACTTTTTTTTTCGGCTATAGAAAAGCAGGAGAAAAGGTATGCAATTAGGCTGTTTTGTACGACGTTAGATGCTTTTTCAAAATATATAATTGGTTTAAATTTTAAATTTTATTTTCTCTTTCGTCCAACGTTCACATTGTTTGACAGACACTTTATATTTTTGTGTAGCGTAAGAGAAACCTAATTATAGCTCCGCCAGTGATAAAGTTGATGGTGCACCGACTATACAGAAAGAAAGACAACTCTTTAAGTAACAAACTGATGAGAAAAAATTCTGTGCTATCAGCTTTGTTTCTGAATAAAAATAACAAGGCTTTTTGAAAAAGGGCCGTTACACTTACTTTGTAGAGTGACGATTTGAAAATTGGTTGCTTTATAACTCTACAATGAGTCGCTTGACTTGGCTCAATTTTTCATAATAATGTAAAACAAAAGTTTTATAAGTGATAAGTATTTTAACCGTTAATCTCCTTTCTTTGAGGAGAAATTTACATTATACTAAAAATGAAAAGTGACGTTTTTGAGACAAAATGTAGAATGACGATTTTTCTGCAGATATTTTCAGTCCAACTCATTCAAAAATATTTTTTTCGAGTATAATTCAAATGAATAGAATACGGCAAATAAATTCAAGTATATTGTGGTCTTCTTTTGACTTCCTATCCTTCATACAGAGCTGAAAAATGACTCGAACTTTTCAATGAGTAAAGCCCATTTCATTATTGAATTAAGCGGAAATTAAACTGTACAACTTATATTTCTCTTAATAATCACTAAAGTGTTGGGAAACATTTGCCCCTTAACACAGGTATAGAGTATAATAAAATGCACTACTCAAAAGTTGTTTAGGTTCACTTTCATTTTTTCTCGTCGATTCTACCAAAAAGTTGAAATTCACTCATATGTATATGCGATGATGTCACACTATGTCACTAGCAGAAGAAAAGAAAGAATGATAGTGAGAGACACATCAGTTATACCACTACGTAACAACGCGCATCTAGTATGTATGAATCACTTGTTGCGCTCGCTCTTTCAAGGCGAAAAAAGAATGAGTTAAAGCTCATGAGGTAGACAAACACACAATCATTTACATTACAACAAAAAGATGGTCAGAACTGGAAATGATTTAAAACACTAAACCAACCTTAAAGGTACAAAGATTCTCCATTTCTACTTTTCCGTACTGTTATAACGCCCAGAGTGACCAATCTTTCCAAATCCCAAATCCGAATCTAACTGAATGCGAATCTGATCGAATCTAAATCTAACCAAATCCGAATCTAATCGAACCCGAATCTGATCAAATCCGAATCCCATTGATTCAAATTCTATCGAATCCGAGCCTGATTCGAATCCAAATATTCGAATTTAGTACATGCCTACTTATGACCCCCAATTTACTCCATTGCTGTCCACTTTTCGCTCACCTCCGCTTCCCATAAAGTTGGACGTCCTTTATGGATGGCCTCTAAAGGTTTTTTTTTTATCTTCTATTTATTATCAAAAACGTGCGCCCATTAATTAACACTTTATGATTTATTTGCATTAAAACGACGATGAATCTCGTTCGTAACGGTCTGTTCGCGATCCACGTGTTTTAAAGCACGAGCCTCGTCACGCCATCGAAGCAAATTCTCGAGGGACGCAGTGCGAAGTATATCGAAATTTTGAGCAGCGTGATGTCCTCTTGTGTCTTCTGTGTTTAGTGAACCATATAAGATGCGATTCGTAATTGTCGAAGCGAGAAAATCATTTATGTGACCTTCTGAATCACGAGTAGGTATGTTTTGGCTTGATTGAAGATGATTTGGATCATCCCAACGTGTTTTCGGTTCATGCGCTGATGGTGGAACTTGAGGTATGGATATGTTTGATGATTGTGTTGTTGTGGCACTACACTGGTCATAAAAGCGATTTTCGTAAGGTGGTGGCTCATCTTGAGACGCACGAGAATCATAAAAAGAAATATTTGTTTGCAAATCTGTTGATTCGTATGATTTCCTATTATGATGGTTTGAATCACGTGCTTGGTAATCAATATTAGGCGCATCTAAATGAGGCTCTCTTTGCTGTTGGGCATATATATCATTATTGTAAGGCATATGCATAGGCGAATGACCATGAGTTTGCCAATGGGGATGATCTAAATCTGATGCACACATAGTGTCGTATATATTGAAAATGAAATTAGTCACGATGCGCAATCTATGTCATTTATATGCACAAGTGAATCAGACAGAGGAGCAGTATTTTTTAACTTGGAACTAATTCAGAAGATAAGTTTTCCAACCGAAATTAAACTTTTTTTACTCTGAAAATTAATGATATTTGCCTTTCATTTACCAATAGTTCATTTTTGAGCTGGAAAATTGGTGTAGCGTGGAAATATTGAAAATATCGAAAGAAAAATGTCAACAACTAAATAGAATCCAATAGGGAAAATGTCGAAAGGGAAAATTGCAGAAAAATAAATAGCAAGAGAGAAAAATGTTGAAAATGAAAAATGTTTAAAAAAATGATATTTCTAGTAAACTCTGGCTCTAAGTGTCTCTAGTTTATTATTGTTTTTGTCATTATTTGGTTCGTCTGCCTTTATAAACACTGATAACGGAGACGACTAATACCTGATAGCAACGAACAAGAAATAGTAAAAAAAATAACGAACACAAAATCAACAGTTTAATATGACGGCCACAGTTGCTTCGCCTTCATCAAGCCTAAGTTAGCCATCATCACTTATCTTATTTATTCGCTCACAAAACAAAAAACCATGACTCATATGAGATGAATATGTTTTCAAATTGGTTAAAACAACAACAACTGCCACCAGATATTAGATTTGTACACTTATCGAATGTTAACAAAAGCAATAACATTTTTATAAGTTGTCTGCTTATTTATTCCTTAATTTGCATATGATCTGTTACAGCGTTAGTCTTACGCCAAAAAAAATAAAATGTGTTCTGCTAATCTGAATTTTCTAAAAGGGCTTCTCGATAACTTTCCATTTCGGATGTGAGGCTCTGAGGCTGAGGGTGGGTGAGGATGACTACCTCTTCCTCACCGTCACCCTCATCCATCCACTCTCATCCACCAACTTGCAACCAGACCCTCACCCACCAACTTGCAACCAGACCCTCACCCATCATCACTCTCACCCCGCTCTATCCCCAAAAAATTCTTGGATACACGTCTGAAGGAAGACTAATAAGAAGTTGATCATACGTTTGATTCTTACGTCTTTGTTCATCATAGTGATAGCGTGGTGGCTGTGGATAGAAGGGGTAGCCGTAGTGGTGTTGAGAAAACGGAGGAAAGCCCAGGTTGGAAAAACGCCGCTGATTGTCGTATTGTTCAGCCGGATGCAGAAGGGGCTGTTGCTGGAAGAACTGTGATCGATTGTCGTTGCGTTGATGTGTTAGAACGTAGATGACACATATTTCTATTAAAAGGTTCGGATCTACACGTACAATACGAAGAATATCTTGTTCAATGGCATCGTTAATCTTCTGTTGTATTTGAACATATCGTTGACAGAGCGCAGGTGTGTCATATGATAAATACTTGTTGTATAAACTAGCAAACTGAATTTTATCGTAGGGAGCATTTGGTGAGCGACCTTCAGCACGTTTCCGTAATTCGTCGATAATCAAACCGATTTCTTTAGCATCTTTGCACATTTCGTATCGATTGATAAGTTCATGAGTAGGAATTGAACCAAAAGTCGTCGGTTCTGGAAACAGTTCTCTTTTAGAAGATATTTTACGGTTACCATGTTCCTGGTCTGGATTGACTTTTTTGCCGGACTTGACTGTCTTGCTCGAATCCTTGCGATTCTTCTCTTTGGTGTTTTCTTTGCTTGAATCGATTTTTTCCCTCAAAGTTCGGCCTTCATCAGAGCTACTCCCACTACTCACCGACGAACCATCGGACGTCTCGTCACTACTTGACTGCTGCTTTAGCTCCACACGTTTTTTTCTCTTTCTTTTAGGATCACTTTTGCTGTCATCTTTCTTCTGGACAGCTTTGTTTGCATCCCGTGCTCGAGCTTCCCAGATCGAAGTGTTCAACCGAAGCGGCACTGTAGTTGCTGTCGATTCTAGCAGCTGCGTATGAAATTGCTGGTAATTATCTATCAATATCATGGGTGGTAACGTTCGAGTTGAGCTTTCCTCAGCACCAATCGTTTGGGAAAATTCAATGAGACCTTTTATCATATTCTCCGATTGTTGCTTCGTTTCAATGTCATGCAATTGAAGGTGACTCGCTTGTAGTTGAGCAATCAGACAACGCAGTTCCTCTACAAGATCGAATCCGCTGCAAAGTTTTCGCAATTGCATGCACTTTTCCTTGATTTCAGAATATTTTTTTTCGAGAGCTTTCGCAAGCATTTGTTTTGTTTGAGTTGTCGATGTCAGCTTGCCTTCAAATGTAGTTTTATTCTTTGCCGCTTGTTCATATTGAGTCTTGATTTCGTGTAAAACTCGTTTGTTTGAAGTCGTCGTGATTTTAATTGTTTTTCGAGCATGATAATGCTTTTTAAAGGAGCATTTCATGAGTTGGCCATCGACCATAGTCCCTGGGCACTGTTCACAGACTCCATTGTTCATTGCCCAACAACCTACAAAAATTTGATCTCCCACGGTTATCGTCTCCTGAAGTGCACAACCATCATGACACACAACATCGCATACAGTGCATAGAGTACTATGGTAATCAGCAGGCGCGTGTTGCTTATGCTCTTGGATCACTTCTTTAGTGAAGTCTTCAAAAGTCAACGCATCGGCACCATACTTTTTTATAGCAGACTCGAAAGCAGCCATTTCCTCTTGCATCGTCTGAATTTGCGTCACTTCCATTTTTATTTGGTGCATCAGTGCCATAATTTCATTGCGAATTATTTTCATCTCGGTAAATGCGGCCACAGACTTCGTTGTAAATGTGTCGATTGTGAACAACATCCGTTGGATATTATTCATTGATTCTAGCCAATCTTTTTCTAGCTGAGGAAATGATTCGGTATCCCATTCTTTTTCAGGTTTTGAGAAAGCGGAGTTCTGAAAATAAAATGGATATACATTGCCCGACAGATTCAATGCTTGAATTTTAAAGTTTGACGCGTGTCGTTTTGCATTTGTTAAAATCACAATCACTGATTCCATGACTGCGTCGGGCAAATTACCACGCAGACGAACTATAACGTTTTGCAAATTTACAGTGATGCGTGGTGCTGTACCGTTCACGACAATCAGAACTGTCGTTAAACCACCGAGACTCTCGACAGCTTCAATAATTTTGCGCATATTAATATCATCTTGGTCGGCACCACGCGTATCACTGAGACCAGGTGTATCGAGAAACAGATAAGTTTTCTTCGTTTTTGGATCTTCGAAAGCATATTGGTGGCATGCGTCGGTCTGTGATTTTGTGGTATCATTTACGGAATTCTCATTGTGTTTAAATTCCTCAGTTACATGTGGCCGATGTATCAATGGTATTGCCACGCGTAAATTTTTTAGACTGCCACCACGAAAGTAGTTAACAAGATAATTGATGAAAGTTGACTTTCCACAACCCGTCTCGCCGATGATAAGCAGTTTAGCCACATCTTCTGTGTCGAGATTTATCTTTTTTTCCTCGTCATTTGTACTCAACTTGCTAAACTTTTCAAGGACAGCTTTCGCGTCACTTTTCACAACATCCGTACCACTCATGATAACTATAAGTAAAAGTCATTCGTATTATATTTATGTAAAGAGGACTGAAAAAATTCATCAGATGTATATGTTATGGGAACTTTTTGGAAGAATTCAACAGTGAGAAAGGGGTGTTCAGAAATCATGTAGTCAGTTAGAGACACGGGTCCCGCAATCATCAGGTTTTATCACGGAGGAGGAGGAGCCAGGCTGACTGATTACGTGATCACAAAATCTGAATTTCACGGCAAAATTCTGAACTTTTATCAGTGAATCAAAACTTTTTAAGGGAACACGCTTCATATCAGGTGATCGGAGGGGGGATCCTGAAAAACCACGTTTGATCATCATTAGGAGTGTCAGCGTTCCAGTTCTTGAGCGTTCCGTTCCTGGGAACAGGAGTACGTCTCAAAATTGCGTCTTCTAGCATTGTTTCAATATGGCTATGTTTGTAAATATGTTCGCTTCTCTATTTACGTTAGAGCGTTTCGCGTTCCTCGTTC